AGGGGGGAAAAATCCAGCAAAAAGTCCACTTGCACATCCATTTCAGCTCAACAGCCAAAGCAGTTTTTACGTCTTCTTGCAATATTATCAGCATAGACAATTTCATTTGTTGGATTTCGTTGTCATGCCTTCTTCTGAATAGAATGATAGGCTTGTATAAACTATTTTAAGACTGAGATTTTATTTAGCCTAGTGACAACACCAAGGAAGACCTGCTATGACTGCTGCTTTGTTTAATTACTCTTACAAGGATGAAGTCAGTTACCTTATCAAAGCAAGGAGCAAATATTTTTAATATTTTCTGAGTATAAAAGTTAAAATTGTGCCCCAAGATATCTAAAGTTTGTGTCACATTGTGTTACAAACTGTTTGCAGTGGAAAACATATCTGTTACTCCTCCTGACATGCTTTTGTGTAGCTCATCAACTCTCTGGGTCAGGAGCAATCTCTTCCCTGCACTTTTACAAGTGCAGTAAAGTCTCTAAAACAGGCATCTCCAGGATGTGTTTCATGGAAATAGTTTCACTGTAGAGTAGGAATGGCTTTACCATGTTGAGATTACAATAAATGTGTGGAACCCTTGATGTTACCATGGATTATTCGGCAGTGATACACCACAGGAAGTGGTGGTGCTGGACAGATGCTAAAGGCGCCATAGTTCAAGAGAGAAGAGACTAATCATGACTTTACCACTGCCTCTGCCTGTGCCAGGTGGGATGACAGGATTGACAGGATTGGCAGGAAGGCAGTGAGGTGTGAGGGTATCCCTTGAGACAGGAAACAGGGTTCCCACTTCTCTCATACTTCTGATTTTTACCAGAACACCAAACATGTTTCTCCAACCTCTAAAGCAAAGTGGATTCTGAAACCTTTCCTTTCTCTGTGACCAGAGTGAAGTAGATCCAATCCCATATTCTTCTTTCCTTCTGAGCAAGCAGACATCCCCGAGGACAAATTACAGATGACAAGTGAAAATATAGACTGGAGAGAGCCCTAAATGGTAAATTGTTTATTCTGCTGCCTTAGTGATTTGATGTGGTTTAAAAAAAGAAACAAAAGAAGGGACAAAAATCCCCCAAAATTCAAACAATTTGAATTAGGTCTGGTTCACATAAGAAAAGAGCAGAGGCTGTTAGAATGAATATTTTCAAATGAGGACAGAATTGGAATTTCAAGGCCAGGCTGGATTCTGGGGTTCTGAGCAACCTGGCCTAGTTGAAGGTGTCCCTACCCATGGCAGGGGGTTTGGAATGAGATGACCTTTAAGGTCTCTTCCAACCAAAACCATTCTGTAATTCTATGATTCTATGGATGGGGAATAGTAATCATAAGTTGTTTTCTCTGGCCTTGCGTAAGTCCCTTTTTCTTTCTCCACCTGCTCTCCACTGGATATAAGCTGCTGGAGGCAGAGATTCATTATCCTTGTGAGTCAGATTCCAAGTCTGCAGAAGTCTGTAGGAGTATTTCCATCGACATCTCGGGGCTCTGGACCAGCCCATCAGAAATTGTGCCATGGCTCGTTCAGCTGGGGCACAATTGCATTTGAAGCCTTCAAATGCTCCCACGTTGTAAATAATAGTCAACATCTCATCAGATTAATTCAGCTGGTTATCAAATCAGATCTGATCAAAGCCTGGAATATTTGTTTATAAACACTATCTCTTTATTTTCATTTGTTTTAATTGAGGGGAGAAAAAAGCCAAAATTTCAGAAATGTCTCAGAAGGTGGGATTATGGAAGCATTTCTTTTCAGAAAAATTAAAACAACTTTATTAAAACTCCATTTATATATAGCTTGAAGAGCCTTGAAAAGCCAGATGAACAACATATTGAAGTAAAACAGATAAAATTATTAAATTTGAAACTATTGAAACAGTGTCAAATTATTCTTGATGTGCTGGATTTTGTTGAGTTAATGTGCATCGACAGCATATTAGAATTTACTGAAACCTCCATTTTCTGACAGAAAATTATTTTATCCAAAACCAATTGAGTCTTTTCTAACACAAATGAATTCTGATCATGGAACAATTCACATGAAATGGTACATGTGATCAAAGGTCTAATAAATTGCTGAGAAATTTATATTGTTGAGATTATATGACAGATTTTCCTTCTTTGGGAATCACATGCAGATATGGCACCAGCCACAATATGATAAAAGACTTGGAAGAAATGAGCTACCTGTAAACATTATTCATTCATTATCTTGAGTTTCTGCTAGTGTGTGACAAATCATTAGTTCTAGTGTAAGGCAAGCTTTAAAAATGTAATTACTTAATCATGCAGTTAGTTCCCCATCAATCCTACCAGCACTTGTTCTTAACTAGCTTTAAAGAACAGAATTAGGAGTAATTTGTAAGCAAAAGTAATTGAGGAAAGGCTGATATTGCCAAGGTGTTGACAGCACTGCACATGGTGTTGTTTCTTTTAATTCTCCGGCAAAGCAGTGGTCTGCAAACTTTGCTGAACAGCACTGGTGGCTGGTGGAGCCTTAAAACATGTCCCAGTGTCCAAAACTGAGGTCAAGAATGGGGATTTTCCTCATTTTGTTTCACCACCTTCATGGGTGGCGGAAAGGAGGCATGGGATGAAGAGAGGATGGGTCCATGAGACCTGGATATTAGGCTTGTAATTAATCCTGTTTGGTTTTCAGAGATCTTAACATCAGGAACAGCACTGACCCAGAAAAGGGAAAGCATATGTTGAGAGCAAGAAGAATCAGAGCTTGTAGTCAGGCAATGTTATATTTCATAAAACTCCAGGGGATCTAAAGTAGGGTAAACTAGAAATGGGTGGTGAATGGGAACTTTTTAATGTGATCCGTTTCACTGGAGAATGTAGATTCATCAAAGCTTGAACTGTCAGAAGGAAACAAATTGTTTTTAACTCTTTTTTCACCTGTGAAAATTCTGAAAAATTATTTGAAATTATTCAAGGGTCCTGTTTTGTCATGCCCAAGGATGAAAAAACCTACTGTCCTGATTTTAATCAACTTGTGAACCACAGTGTCTGCATGTATCAAAAGCAGGGTGGCCAGAAGGATCAAGGAAGTGATTGACCCTCTGTGCTGGGCACTGTTGAGAACACACTTTGAGTTCTGTGTCCAGTTCTGGGCCCCTCACTTCAAGAAAGATATTGAGATGCTGGAGCAAGTCCAGAGAAAGGCAGCAGAGCTGGGCAAGAGGCTGAAGAGTCAGTCATATAAGGAACAGCTGAGGGAGCTGGGGGGGCTCAGTCTGGAGACAAGGAGGTTCAGGGGGGACCTTCTCACTCTCTGCAGCTCCCTGACAGGAGGGGGGAGCCAAGGGGGGGTTGGACTCTGCTCCCAGGGAACAAGGGACAGGACAAGATGACATATCCTCAAGCTGTGCCAGGCGAGGTTCAGCTTGGACATCAGGAGGAATTTCTTCATGGACAGGGTTGTCAGTCTTTGAAAGGGGCTGCCCAGGGAGGTGGTGGAGTCCCCATCCCTGGAGGTGTCCAAGTAAGGACTGGACATGGCACTCAGTGCTCTGGGCTGGGTGACAAGGTGGGGATCGGTCACAGGTTGGACTTGATTATCCTGGAGTTCTTCTCCAACCTAAATGATTCTGTGATGTTCATTCTGTCTTTCTATCTATCTAGCCACCTACCTTTCCAGCACAATCCTGAAATAGTCAAAATGAAAATCAATACTTTAAAAGCTATAAATTCAATGAATAAATTGAATTTATAAAGCTATAAATTCAATTTCAATTGTTCTTTATATAAAAGTGGAGCTGGCTGGAAATAAGTCTAACTGTTCTGCAAGCAAGTCAGTTAAAAAAAAATTTATGAAATCAGATAGGAAAATTAAAAATGAGATCTATTTCTGGAGGAAAAAACCCTACAGATAGCTTTGTTACCAGGATTTTTTCTTCTTGGAATGATTAAGTTTCCGTGCAGGATGCTGCATACAGAGGTAGACTATTCAAGGAGATTCCTCTACACCTGCTGTATATGGTGCCATGTATGGAGAGAAAGACTGAGGACACTCAAGTCAAATGGCAAGAAACCAAGGAATTTTCCAGAGGAAACTTGCCTGCTTTTTATCAAGTGGTTCATGAAAACTAATATCAGGATGTGTATCTTTTCAAAATTGGATATTTCTTTCAGGGAAATTTGGTCCTAATTTGGGGGGAGGAGGTGTTGGATCAGTTTTCACTGTTTTGCAACAGCCAGAAAGACACAATGAAATCGGGAAAGATAGAAATTAAGAGTTGTCTGATACTGTGATCTATGCCCTTGCAAGTGATGCAATGGAAGAAAGTGTTTTTCTCAGAAAAGAGAAACCTTCTGGTCAGGGGTGAGAGGTGGAGAAGGGTATTCAAAGGGAATGTGATCTGAGGAAGAAAGTGGAAATGGCTTGTGAAGGTTAAAGTTCAGTGCAGAAGGTGTGTCTACCCCAGCTTAACTGAAACTAATTAAGTGTGATTGCAACACATTTCTTTTCAATAATTGTGCCTGTGGGTTTATTTAGGACATAGTATTGAAGGATGTCTGAAGGCACAGTCCTCGTGACATCTGATCCGATCACAGCATGTTTGTGTTTAGCCCTCTCTTGTCTTCACCAAGAGATGAGAAATTTAATAAGAACCATGTGCTCAGCTCATCTTAATAACTTCTAAATCACTCCAAACTCCTGCTATTGCAAATCCTGCCTTTATACCATACACTTGTCTTGGCTGGGAGTTGCAAACAGGGAGGGAACAGAAGGAAAGTTACTTGATAGGATGAGGGGGAATGGCTTCAAACTGTCAGAGAGTAGATTTGGATGAGATATTAGGAAGAAATTCTTCCCTGTGAGGGTGGTGAGGCCCTGGCACAGGTTGCCCAAAAAAGGTGTGGCTGCCTCATCCCTGGAAGTGTTCAAGGCCAGGTTGGACAGGGCTTGAAGCAACCTGGGATAGTGGAAGGTGCCCCTGCCCATGGGATTGGAACTGGTTGGTCTGTGAGGTCATTTCCAACCCAAGCCATCCCATGATTCTATGAAGCACTGTACACTCACAGCTGCAATGTGATGTTTTGCATAATGGCAGTTCAAAGTGATGGAGGAAATCATGCCAAGCAGTGCACTCAGGTAATTGAACTTCTCCTTTTCCTTAGAGATATTGTGTGGGTGGACCATGATTTTCTTTTGTTATTTTAGACAACTGGTATTTCAGCAACAGAAACAACAATATTTACCTGTAGGGTTTTTGCACAGAAGATCAGGGTGTGTAAAGTTTTTTCTTATGATTAACTGAATGAGGACAAGCTTATATGGCTTTTTTTAAGACAAAAGCAAAATCTCTCAGTTCAGTCCTTGAGTTGGTGCCATGATACTCAGCATTGATCTGGGAGCTGTATAATCCTGTTACTGAAGCCCTGGATGAAAAGTGAAAAAATGTCACCAGCTTGTTAAATGTGTATTAAGTGATGCTCCAAATGCTGCTACAAAAACCATTGCTAGTGCCCTTTAGCCTCTTCAGCTTCTTCAGGAACAACTTGAGAAGAAGTTGAATATTGGCGTGTTTCCCAATCTATTTACAAGACCTCTTTGAGGGAAATAGAAGTGTGACAGATGAGAACTGCTGTGATACAACTGTTGCAGAATTTCAGAACTGTTTGGATTGGAAGGGGCCTCTGGAGATCATTCAGTCCAACCTCCCTGCTAAAACAGGTTTGCCTGGAGCAGGTTTCCCCGGACTATGTCCAGGTGGGAATCTCCAGAGAAGGACACTCCACAACCTCTCTGGTCAGCCTGTTCTAGTGCTTTGTCACTCTCCCAGTAAAGAATTTTTTCCTCATATTCAGATGGAACTTCCTGTGTTTTGGTTTGTGTCCATTGCCCCTTGTCCTTTCGCCTCGCATCACTGAAAAGAGCCTGGCTTTTAACCCGTGGTCCATCTGACTCAGATTAGGATTAAAAATGGTGGAATTAATCTCCTTTTCATGTTAGACAGCTAAATACTGGTTATCTAGATCTAGTGTTTTCAGGTTTACATTTTTTGTGCCTGTAGATAAAAAACAGGACCTTCTGAGAGCTCTTTGCCTGTCTCAGAGACGGATGCTAGGAAGGGACAAATCCCTATATCCAAGGTTCTCTTTTCTCTGACTGAAAGCACCCTTGAGTGCCTAGCAGAGACTCAGCACGTCTAGATGGGATGAGAAGAAAGAGATCTGAGTGCTTCAATCCATCTCTTACTCAAAAGTAAGACCTTAGCCTCCAGTGGAACAGGTCTCTCCCAATTTTGCAGTGACATGTGTTTGTGAAACCAAACCAATTCTGCAAGCATTCTTTATAGCGGTTCATTGTGCAACATTAACATTTTGCATTCAGCAACATACAAGGCATCTGAGGAAAGATGAGCCACCTTCACACATCTAAAACCTTGGAAAAAAGCAAAGTGAACTAGCCCCACAGAAACCACTTGCTCCTCGTGAGCTGTCACCTCAGAATCTACAGCTTCTAACCTCTGGATATCTGTAAGGATAGGTCTTGTTTAACAACTGCATAATGTGATGGTACTGTGTATTTAATAAAAGTACTGAAACTGCTTCATGGTGCCACAGATTCACTTGCTGAACATGTCATGAGGCAAAATTTTATAGGCATTGTAAAATCTTTTTACCACACACAGCTGCATTACCCAAAATTGCTCAAATCTGCAGGGCATCTGAAACACACACTACAGCAATAATAGGCTTTGCTGCTTAAAAAGTGATTATGACTAATGCACAAAAACAATTATCACCGAGCTTAATTGCAAAGAATTAAGCACAGAATATATATGTATATAAGTATGCACACACGCATATATATATGTGCGTATATATCACATTCTATATCTAGTTTCTTACTAGAAAAGAGGATCTAACAAAAGTAAAGATGAGGAGAATATGGGTAATTCTGGAGGGGGAAAAAAAAATCAAAAATATAAAATAAAAAATTACTCCACAAAAAAAAAAAAGCAGAAAGAGCTTATTCAACAGAAGGTATGGAAGTCAGCCAGAAAGCACAGACAGTGATCTTAGTGTTAAGGGTGAAGAGGACTTTACTGAGAATGATTAGAATTGAGTTGGGTTAGAGCAAAATGTCCATTGACAGTACACTCATTTTGGGAGTGACCTGCAATGGATCCTCAGGTGAAGACTGCAAAACAGGAAAAAGCTTAAATTCTCTTTATTTCTTACAGATATGTTGCCACTTTCCAGCAACATAAGTCTTAAAAGGCTTTAAAAGCCAGAGGTACAATCTGTGTCTTTATTTATTCCCATCCTTGGAAGTGCTCAAGTCCAGGTTAGCAGGATCTTGGAACAACCTGGTCTGGTGGAAAGTGTCCCTGCTCATGGCAGGGGGATCAGAACTAGATGATCTTTAAGGTCCTTTCCAACCCAAACAATCTATGATTCTATGATTCATAAAATCTGAATTAATTTGTCCTTCATCAGCTTTTTAACTGCTTTTTGAAAGCATTTATATTTTCGGCCTCTATGACCATATTTTCATGAATTTCCATACAGAATTATCTGCCTTATATGCTGATACTCTTCCACGCTATCAAGTTTGTCTGGTTGTATGGTCTGGAGAAAGCCAGTATTCCTACTGTGCTGCCTAAATCCAGGACACCATGTGACATTCCACACCTGCCTCTTACCCACTCCCACCAGATCGAGTCAGTGCAGTGTCTGTATGAAGTCTTCTTATAAACCAGCAGAACAGGTACCAACTATTTCATTATAATCATTGTACTGATATTTATTCTTCAGCTTCCAGCTGTGGTGGTCCTTAAAGGAGGAGAGAATTGTGATTAAAGCAGAAATAATTAGGAAAAATGAGCTAAACCCTCAACTGTTGCCGGCTTCATTGACTTCAAGAAAATTAGGTCAACTGATGTCAATTGGGGTCCCCACCAGTTGAGTTTGCTCTTCCTTCTGCTTCAGGCTTTTGCTGTGACCTTCAGTAATTACACCATACAGCAGACACACAAGTGGAGTGACTAAGTTGTTTAAAAGGAGATGGATAAAAACACCGGAAAAATTGCAATTATTATTAGCAGTATGAACTGCAGTAAGGCCCATAGCCTGGAAAAGGCAATATTTGCAGTGTGCAATCAAACATGGATAGGATGGTGCTTGGGAACACTCTGCTCTGCTGGCAGGGCTCTGTCAAGCAGTCCTCTCACCCCTGGCTGTGGATCACTTTGTTAACAACGGTGTCAAGGCTTCCTTGATTGTGCTGCTACAGATGAGTGGTTTGATGCAGCTTTGGACTCTCAAGCTGTCTTTGAATTAGTAAACCTGCAAAAGCAGGTCACTGGCACAATGAGTCTCCTCCCATTAAATTGTTAGAATAGCCACTGGATTGTGTTTGTACAAAACAACTCCCAGGAATGATTTGGGGAACAGCACTGGAGCGCTCCCCAACAGCAGTTTGGCTCTGAGGGTGATACAGACCTGCTGTATGGATAAAAACACTGCTGTGCCAGGTTCTCTGACTCCCAGAATTTTCTCTGGCTCTGTTTAAATACGCAGCCTGTGAGGTTGAAGAAAGTCCAATGTACCTCTGTTGTACCTATCTACCTTCTACTCAGACATCTCTTGCTGAAAATTGAGTTTCTCGAATTTACGATGGACACAAAAAGCACATATTGACATGAAAATCAGCAAAAGCACAGGCTTTCTGCTTGGATGCTCTACTGGCATGTATTTTTTTTGGATGGATTTATTATTTTCTAAATAATTAGAATGTCCAAAATCTGGGGCCCATAATGATGCTGCAATATTTATATTTTATTAAAGATTAATTTAATTTAGTCTAAAATTTAAGCATGTGGCGATAACTCAACAGCTGCCAGAGGGAAAGGCAGACTCCTTCAGAGCCTCTTAGATGTTTCTCTCCAGATGGGACAAATTTCCTTCTGGATGTGCACATCCTCCTCTATCAACTATTAAGGGAGCCCAGATGACTTGCTTGGAGTGTATGCCTGGTGTTTTAATGATAAAATTAAAGAATGACTCACACTCACAGACTGAGTTTGCTAAAGGAGGTTAGAGTCTCCAAAGCCCAACAAAAATTAAAGGGAATTAGGTGTTTAAAGCCAAACTTTGGGTAGATCAGGGCTGGTTCTCCTAGAAAAATAATAAAGTCACGTGGTTTTGTGGGGTTTTTTTCCATCAGAAGTGCAAAACACAGCAGCCTTTGAGTAAAATAGCAGATTTTTTGGCTGACATTTTCTCAAATTTTGAATTTCTAGAAGACACCGTGTTTGTAACAAGAAAGTCCCAATTTATCACCAGTAAAAACCACAGAATTAATTTATAAACCATGAACCATGGAAATCAATTGGAATTAGGTGTCTAAAGCCAATTTTGGATAGATCTGGGCTGGTACCAAATAGTTCAGGTGCAATAAGCTCTGCATTACAGGGGAATTCACAGTCTTGCTTTTCCTGCCAGGCTCTGGGAAATAGTTAAGGAGTAAACTTAGATGCACTTCAGGCAGCACCCCACATGAAAAACTACCTAAATTTACCAGTAAAGCAGAACAAGAACCATTTGCCTTGTTTTATAGTCAGTGTCCCAGTTTTTGGAAGCATCAGGGGACAGCACTGTTTGAACAGGAATCACCCTTAAAAATAACCACAGCGGAAAGAATTAACCAGATAGACAAATTATTTTTATTCTTTATTTTCTGCCATATCACTTCTATAATAACTTGCCTGGATTACAATGTTACTTCTGTGAAGTCCATCACTGTATTTACAGTAGGAGAGCTTAAAGATTTCAGATATAAACCAGGACTCCACATAACTAAATGCTAAACAGGCATTGAAGAGAGAAACAGGCCCTACTCTTACATGACGTTTTTGTTAGCTAGAACCACATCTCAAACTTTTGAAGGATATTTTAAACACTGACATTCAGGTGTCTGAAAACTAGAGAAAAATTTATTTAAAACTTTTGAAATTTAAAGTGATGACTTTATTATTTTCATAAAATTCAAAACATATTTGTACGAGCTTTTTCAACTTCTTGTTCATGTTATATTTGAAAAATTAATTCTGTGGTTTTTACTGGTGACAAACTGGTGCTTTCTTGTTGCAAATCTGGTGTATTTCGAAGATTCAAAATTTGAGAAAATGTCAACAGAAAAATCAGATATTTTACTCAAGGGCTGCTGTGTTTTGCATTTTTGATGGGAAAAAAAATCAAGAAAAAAAATTATTAGCTCTCTAGGAGAACATCTGTTTGTGATTGACTTAAATCATCATTAGTCTGGTGTTTTGTTTTGGTGGGTTCTTTTCTCTTGAGAAGCAATCTTCAAGCTTGTTTCTATCCTTCCTAATAAAAATCTCCAATTTTCCTCTATCAGTTCCGAAGAGACCAAAGTGCTCCATTTTCACAAGGGGCAGAAAATAGCAGTGATTGAGTTGAGCTCCACACCTCTGAATAGAAAACAGAGATTTTTTATGGAAAGCAGCCACAGCTGCACATAACAACATGCATTAGTGCATCTTGCAGGGAAATGAAATCGAACAGCAAGACACGATCATAAGCCTATCTTGGAGTGTAGTCAATTTGTCCAGTAAATATTGTGGCATTAACAGTTTTATTTGTTGATCATTTCTGATGTTAATGGTAATGGGCCCCTTCGGTATTGGGATATTTATGTCTGACAGCGTGGCGCAATTTACATTAATAAGACTCATTAATTTCAGATGGTTTCTACTATGGAGGAAGGAAATATTAGGGGTGTTTTGTGGGTTTTTTTCCAACATTAGTCTCTCTCTCTCCACACAGCGCAGAGCCACTAAGCTACATGGTTGTACAAAAATGAATCAATGAATGCTCCCTTGTTGTTGCTGTTAATGATTTCCTTGCCTGCCAAAGATGAGGGTGGATAGCTGCCTCTTGGAGGAACTATCTTCCTTCCACATTTTGCTTAGACTTTTCATTTTTTCCTTGTTATTTCCTTTTTGTTGTTTGTTTGGTTTTGTTTTCTTTTTTTGTTTGTTTGTTTCTTTTTATGTTGGTTTGTTTTGGTTTTTTTTTTTTTTTTTGGTCTCTGTTAAACTCAGTCTCAAACAAAACAAGAAACATTTCTATTTCCTTCTCCCATTTCCTACATCCTCTTTGCTTCCACGATGATGACAATCCTGGCCATCAGTTAAAATCTGGATGCTAAAATTAATTACAAGTTTGTGAGAGGATTTATACAAGAAATGACAATTCCTTCCTTGAAAATGGTACGAATGACTCAGTTCTTTCCTGTGTTCAATTTTTATAACAGGAAATAGAAAGCTAATTACTGGTTATTAAGGGCTTTCTAAATCTCCCTCTCTTTTATTAGTTGGACAATGAACAGTTACTTCATATGAGATGGGAAAAGTCAAAGCAAATAATTTATTGGGACTGATTTCCATAATGGGTTTTCAGGCACAGAGTCACAGCACTGGCAGCTGACACAACTGCCACTGTCCTGCCTTAGCTTCGAAACCTGTTCCATTCTTCTTGAAAATGGAAAATTCAGTATTTCAGCTCTTTAAAACTGAGAAAAAAGTGTTCTGACTTGCAATATCTAATTCCACAATGTAAACTTTCGGGTTTCATTTGGGTTTTTTTGACAATATCTTCTCTTATTTTATTTTGCAGTCTGGAAAAAATAAATTTGAAAATGTGCTTTTTCAAGAAACCCAGAAAACATGAGACTTTCTTAAGGAAATTAATCTAAGAAATTAATCGTACAGGTAAAGCTGAGGAGTAGGGTTTTGGAATTAAAATGTGAGGTTTTACTATTAGAAAGAAAAGGAAACACTTAGGGTTTAATTCAGATCCCACTGAAGAAAGAGAGTTGGGGTTGTTCAGCCTGGAGAAGTGAAGGCTTTAGGAAGACCTTAGAACCCCTTCCAGTGCCTAAAGGGGCTCCAAGAGAGCTGGAGAGGAATTTTGGACAAGGGCCTGGAGGGACAGGAAAAGGGAGAATGGCTTCAAACTGACAGGGGGCATGGTTAGATTAGAGATTAGGAATAAATTCTTGACTGTGAGGGTGGTGAGACCCTGGTACAGGTTACCCAGAGAGTTTGTGGATGCCCATCCCTGGAAGTGTTCAAGGCCGGGATCATAGAATGGTTTGGGTTGGAAGGGACCTTAAAGATCACGTTGTTCTGTCCCCCCACCATGGGCAGGGACACCTTCCACTATCCCAGGTTGCTCCAAGCCCCGTCCAACCTGACCTTGGACATTTCCAGGGATGGGGCAGCCACAGCTTCCCTGGGCAACCTGTGCCAGGGCCTCACCACCTTCATATACTTCATCTACCTTCATATACCCTCCAAGTGTTTTTAACCATCTTCTTTTTCTATAAGCCCTTCCTTTACCGATTGAATAAAGAGATGAGGTTTGATGAGCACAAATAGCCCTGCTCAGAATTCCCCCTCTTTCATTACTTGTTGACAGTTTCATTATTACCGTTAAAACAAACCGGAAGCATAAATTCACCCTCTTCCCTTTTTCCTGACCACGGGCAGATGCTCAACAGCAGTGGGAAAAATAACTATCTCCCCATTTCCCTGCAGCAAACCAAAATTGCTGCCCCTGGAGCTGAGTGAGATTTCAGGGGCAAGCTGAGAAATGTACATTTCTTATGATGATCATGATTAAAACTTCCTCTGTGTGTGTTCACGTCCTTTATTTCCATCATAGACCAGAGTGACTCTGTCTGTAAGGCAAACTCCCCCTTGGAGGGTGTTTTCTAAAGCTGCCAACAGAAATTGCAATAAAAAAATGAAGGGAGATATAAAATAGAAATAACAATGCAATGGAACAAGTTTACTATGCTGAATTAATGTCCTTATGGCACTATCATATTAACTCTCCAAGTCATATTTACATGGTGACTGCAGAGAAATCCAGATAAGGTTTATTTTCACCCGGTGTCCCACCTGCTTCACAGCCATAGACTTGTCTTGCATATGAGCAGCTTGTGGGTGTCACCTACTAGTTCCCCAAGACACAACTTTACTAATTCACTCAGCAATATCAGCTTAGTCCTATGCAGGCTGGGGGATGAACAGATCAAGAGCTGCCCTGCCAAGGAGGACTCGGGGATGCTGGTGGGTGAGAGGCTGGAAATGCCCTGGCCAGGTGCTCTGGGAGCCCAGAAATCTCCTGTGTCCTGAGCTCATCCCACAGCGTGGGCAGCAGGGGAGGGGGGGATTCTGCCCCTCTGTCCCCTCAGGTGAGACCCCACCTGCAGAGCTGCCTCCAGCCCTGGGGAACAGCAACACAGGCAGGACATGGACCTGTTGGAGTGAGTCCAGAGGACGCCACCAAGATAATCAAAGAGTTGGAGCACCTCTGCTATGAGGAAAGGCTGAGAGAGTAGGGATTTTTCAGCCTGGAGAAGAGAAGGCTTCAGGGTAACCTAATTGTAGCCTTCCAGTAGCTGAAGGGAGCCTACAGGAGAGATGGAAAGAGACTATTTATAAGGGTCTGGAGTGGTAAGACAATCCACAAATTTTCTGCCCTCCCAGGCTTCTGGATAATTTTTATGTCTACTTTATAGATCTCACTAGTATAAAAATCTGCTATTATTTTTTTCATAATTTTGTCAAAGCTGAGCCAAAAAAACCTAGAAAAACTAGAAAAACTTTTGGTCCAGAGTTTACATCGAGCCATTTGGTTTGTTTTTGAGGGGTGGTGAGTTTTAAATTCTTTTCTCCTTTTTTTTTCTCTTTTTTGATCCTTTGAAATGTTTCTAATAAAAGATCTTATTATTTCGAAGAGCAAAGTAAAAGAACCGTCAAGACATACTTAGTCCTGCTTGAGGAATCACTTAAAACAAGATCAGGGATGTTGTTCATGTGAAACCCTCCCGGATCTGGCCAAACTAGGAGTTTTTGGGAACTACTCAGTAATAAGACGGTGCAATTATCCAGTGGTTTAGTCTGAGCTCAGCATGACTCAGCCCCTCACGTCTCCTAGAACACTGTAGATCATTGTCTACTTTTCCAAGCTCCTTGCTCTCAGAGATGAACAACTTGGGCCTGGAAGTCTGTAAAGTCCATGGAGACAAGGGAAAACCTTATGAGCAGCTTAGCAGGGGGCTTTTGATGTGGTAGTAGAGAGAAACAGCCAACTCTTGCTGTTAACTGCCTCTGTCAGTGGGAGCTGGGCTTTGAATCCTGTGGATAGATTTGTGCTGGCGGAGTACAGATCAGAGGAAGGAAAAAGAAACTGCAAAATCCATTAAAAAATTATATGGTGGAGAAATATGAGTCCAATTGTGTTTCTGTCTAGGTGATTACCTGGCCTGAGAAACAACTCATGTTATTTCTTGTGGAAACCAACCTGCAACGTGCTGTTGGGGCGAGAACAGAGGAGGCCACAAAGATGATCTAAGGGCTGGAGCACCGCTGCTATGGAGTCAAGGATGGGAGGGCTGAGGGTGTTCAGCCTGAAGAAGTGAATGGTCTAGGGAGACCTTAGAGTCCCTTCCAATGCCTAAAGGGGCTCCAAGAGACCCAGAGAGGGTCTTTGGACAAGGGCATGTACTGATAGGTCAAGGGGGAAAGGTTTTAAACCGAAAGAGGAGAGATTTCCATTAGATGTTAGAGAGAAATGTTTCTCTGTGACAGTGGTGAGGCGCAGAAACAGGTTGCCCAGAGAAGCTGTGGCTGCCTTATCCCTGGAAGTGTTCAAATCCAGGTTGGACGAGGCAACATGGGATAGCAGAAGGTGTCCCTGCCCATGGTAGGGTACTGGAACAGGATGGTCTTTAAGGTCCTTCCCAAGCCAAAGCCAAACATTCTGGAATTCTATGATTCTATGCTATCAGATAATTAACAACTCTATCTGAAGGAGTAGCCATATGTTAATAACCTTCATCCTGAAACTATTAAAATTAAGGATTTTCATATTTAATATTTTTTTAAAGATTCTTTCTCTGGTTTATTTTTTTATCTGAATTTAGTATCTTCTTCCCTCAGACACCAAATGAACCCAGCTACTACTGCTCATGGTTCTGAGTCTGTCCATGTCCAATTTCAAAGAGTCGTCACTTGACTGCTGGGCTTCTCATAGTGCTCTAAAAGCTGTAGCATGTTTTCTCCAAGAAAACAGAGGAAAAGGAAAGAAATTAGTTGTAACCACTCCCAATGCCAATTATCCAGACAATGTTATGTGTAAATATTTCTTTATCCATCCAAGCAGTAACACAGACAGCTGCTTGCAGAAGTCACCTTCTGAAAGGTGCTTGTGTCCTTGAAGAAAGCACCAGGATATTTTTGTGATGTGCGACAGCTGCATTTGCAGTTGTTCCTCCATATCTGAACATACGCCCTAAGTGGATTTGCTGTTGGTTCTCTGCTGAAAACAAGGTTCCCATTCTCAACGGTGACACAACTAGAAATAAAACTACATCATTACAAAAAAAAAAAAAAAAAAAAAAAAAAAGAGAAAAGCCACAGTTAAGAGTAAATTAAAGCAGATATGTGGGCTTTGATCAAGTTACGAGCAGGCAGAAGTGTTAATATACTGGAGCGTTTTCACAGCGGAAATGAATTACACCATCGGCCCTGCAACTGTAAAGTCGAGCGGAAATTGTAACAAAAAAAAAAGCAATGACTGGGTCTAAACTGTGAAGGATGTTGGCAAAAGTCCAGGAAAAGGTATGGCTGGTGCCAAGCTTGCATAAAAGAATGGTTTAACAGCCACTCCAATTGCTATAACTGCCTCTTTTTTTTTTCTTTTTTTCTTCTTTCCCCCCCCTTTTTTTTTTCTTTTAGCTGTTTTTCCTATTGTAACTAATCTCATTAAATAAGGGCCATTGTCTCTCCCCTCAGACAACAGGCTCATTCACAGGAGCTCTGCCAGACATTGAGATCCTTCAGCGGGGTTTGAAAGGGACAACAGCACATCATAAAAAAATAGAACGGATTGAGAGTGTTCCACCCTGAAAGGCAGAAAAAAGCCTTCACAGCATGTCTGAAATTCAGCACCATTTGAAGACATCTATTGGAAAAGCTTGTGTGAAATCCTATCAATGTCTAAGATTATTGGAAGGTGGGAGAGGGAAGTACTTTGGGCATATCTGATGATTCCATAAACCTATGGCAGTGTGACAAAAGAGAGGATCAGCCACCAGGATTAGTGTGTGGGTGATGGAAGGAAGGTAAAATTTAATACAGAGAAAGGTCAAGTTTAAGGATCTGATACAATTCCCTTAATGGAATTGGGAAGTTTTGCACTGAATTATTAAAGAATTATAGCAACTCTAGTTATAAAATACTTCATCACTTTTCCACTCCTTCCCTTTTTTAGGAAGAACACTTGGTTAAATTAAAGGTGGTCATCAAAAAGCTTCTCGGGAAATAAAGAAGTCACCCTAACCTTAGTGATAGCAATAACACAGAGATAGGTAAAAGAACATCTTAATAATTATTACTATGAGTAACCAGTATTTGCAACTAAAATTCTAAGACAAATCTAAGTATTTGGAATCGATAATCTTAAGTGTCTTTTCCAGTTTAAATGATTCTATGATTTCACCAGCTCAAGTGAGAAACATTTGCTATCAAGGCCTTGAAGTCTAAAGGGAAGAGAACAGTAGAGTGAGTAAAGGCAAAGAAGGGAATAGAGATGTGTCACACAGATTAGTTCTGATCTGACTCCCATGGGAGCCTGTGCATGCAGTACATCACATCAGATTGTGTCATGCTGGAGAATATTCAAGTTCTACCAGAAGCATCACACTGTTGGCATTATACTCTCTCTACATAATATTTCCCGCTCTTCGGATGAAATAAACAGCTTGGTTGGAATCATATAATCATTAAGGTTAGAAAAGACTTGTAAGATCACTGAACTCAACATGAACTTGATTCTGTACAGCAGGAATGCAGCTCATCTGTCCCAGGACCCAAGGAAACTCTCTACATACCGGGGAAGTGTTTCTAGGTCACTTCGCTTTGTGTCTGGGGACTTTCTCCGTGTCTGGGGCTTAAATATGGTCTTCTTGGGGTTGATCATGGGAATAGTAACAACAATTTACATCTGTAGTCTTAAAAGTCATTTTTTACGAAAGCACAAAAAATTAAAAAGAAGAAATATTCTAATCTTCAGATACCAGATGAGGACACTGAGGTATAAGTTGCATGTAGGTAACAGCAAAGGCAACAACTGTCCTTTTGTTGGTCTTCTGTTCATTTTTGGGCGGCACAAAGTAGATTTTACCCATTTGCTTTTATGTCCACCTTCCTCTGTCTTTCTCACTATTTTGTCCTTCTCTTCTTGTTCTTCTATCTTTTCCACGCACTTCACATATCCCTTGCCAAGCACTCATGCTCCTATGCCAAGTGTGTCCACAGATTTCACCAGGCTCAGGTGAGAGGTAGTCACAGCTAAACAAACCCTTGGTTGTTTGATAGAATTGTAGAATAATTAGGGTTGGAAAAACCCTCTCAGATCACTGAGTCTAACTCTTAGTCCAGCGCTGCCAAGCCCACCACTAAATCATGTTGCTCAGTGCCACATCTACACATCTTTTAAATACCTCCACGGGTGGTGACTCCATTACTGACCTGGGCAACCTGTTTCAATTCTTGACCACTCTTTCAGTGAGCAAATTTTTTCCTAATGTTCAATCTAAACCTCCACTGGTGAACCTTGAGGCCATTTTGTCTCATTCTGTCACTTGTTACCTGGGAGAAAAGACCAACCTCCACCTCACTATGACACCCTCTTTTAGGTAGTTCAAACATTCAGTTTAAATTCTCTGCACCTCCTCTATAGGATCTTACAGGGAAACTAATAGACTACAGGTTCTACTTAAAGGGAAAAATAGCAAAGAATTTGACTTAAAATTTCTTTTTCTGACTGAGCATGGCCAATACCTTTCAATCTTACTAAGGAAAGTCAAGATCTTTTGGAGTTTTGACCATCACTGACCACATGCTTGAGTTGCCCTGAGGAAAATTTCTCTGGCTAGGAAAATAACCAGCATGTAGATCGAAAAACAAACGTATGGGCAGGTAACCCTCATGTACGAATAGTATTCTCAGTGCAATGCTAGCCACAGTGTCAACTTCCAGGTGAGTTTCCATTCAGTGTTGCTACTGAGGACAGTGAGATCCATGTGAACTAATTAACTTGTATCCTGGAGAAGGAAGTTGTCACTAAGGAAGTGCAGAACAAAGCAAAACTGAAACATCATAGACCCTGGCCTGTAGCAACAGGAATAAACCACAAATAGTAAGTAGATTAAAAATAACTGTCATGTTGCATCACAGAAGCCCTGGCACTTCTCTCTGCAGTGGTTTTCATTAGCAGTTGCAGTTAAGAACAGCAAGAATCTGTTCTTTTCATTTCCATTAATATCTTAAGAAACAGCGGCATTGTGGGCAAATCAAACTCAACTGGAACATGAAGTAAATCCCTCAGCCATAGCCAATTTGGATCTCATTTTACACAGAGCTAATCTAGATTTAAACCTGCTGAATTAGACTGGATTTGCAGTCAAGTCATCAAGAGCTGACTCGGATCCTTATTATCAGGTATAAGAAGACTATGAATGCTCATCTGGTATGAGCCACCTAGGTACAACACTGGAGTCAACAGAGCTATTTATATTTAATTATTTATATATATATATATAATTATTTATGATTTATACCTGGTGATCTGCATCCCTAGTTGTTTTAGTGCTTTACATAAAAATTCGGACTGTTGCTGGGTGATACAGCTGGTCAGTGGTTCAGTGACAGAGATGCTTTCACTAACAGAAGTTTAAGCTCTTTGCAGAGACAGGAAAAATATTACTGATTACTTTTAATATTTGGAATCTTCAATAAAACTTTTAATTTTTATTAGAGTACTTTTCATGTTTTAGATCTCTTGCCTGTGATATTATATGTATGATGTACTAGGAAGTCGGAGTTCACTGAAGAATTATTTGATAACATCATAGATCTCTTCTGTGTATTTGTATACAGGGACAAATTTTGCATTCTTTCATTAAAATGTCATGGTTGTGAAAAGGTGTGGCCTTGCCACCTGTCTGGAAATTCCTTACCGAAGTTCTGAGATCTTCCTACCAGCTACCACATTTGAATTGAAGGGTAGATAATTTCCATGCATTGACATTCTTTGAAGTGTTTACTGTTCTCTGCCTTAAGAAAACCCTTTGTGGGTTTTCTTAAAGGAAAAAAAGCTCAGAGTGTGAAATAGGATAATGAGAGTTATAGTTGATGCAAAGTCTTTGGGGAAGTTATGGTTATTTTGTTGTTTTTACATATAGAAAGGAGCAAAAACGGAGCCCTTCTTGATTAAGTTAGTTCAACACTAGGAACAGTATGCATAACAAACAGTAGTAATTAACCCCAGGGCACATTGTTAGCACCAGCTCTTATTTAGGCTCCCACAACAAGAAGAATCCACTCTGCTCACCACTCTTCATCCACTGCAGCTGTTGGGCGGCACTGCCAGGAGTGTGGTCCACTGGTTTGTGGGGTAAGGTCAGGTTGCTCCAGAATCTCATCCCACCAAATGTGGGAAACTTTCATGGAATCATAGAGTGGGTTGGGTTGAAAGAGACCTTAAACACCATCTAGTTTCAAACCCATTCCCACGGGCAGGGAC